CTTCAGCTTTCTCCAAACAGGTCTGTAGCCTCCAGCTTGGAGGCCCCTGATTGTCACAGTGTACCTGTCGACAGTGTTCCCAGTTCCCAGGAGCACTGGCCTGCCTCTCTCCCCAGATGGCACAGTGTGGTTTCTGTTGGCCTGGCCTGGTTGAACTGTTAGCATCTCGGGGCAGGCGTGGGGACAGCCGGACTCAGTGCTTAGGTCTCAGCTGGGTGCACAGCTGACCATGGGTACAGAGCTGCTGAGCTACCCTAGTCCATGCTGGAGAACACGGTACCCCTGTCGTTGGCTGCCCCTTCCTGCCCTGCTTGATGAGGCCTTCCCCAGCGTCTTCTCACCATGTAGGTAAGATGCCTGCCACCTCAGTTGGGGCCTCTTGATGGGGAGTGAAGATGGCATCCACTCCAGGTACCCTGGGTTTTCTTTCTCTTCTCTTCACCATGCTCAAGGCCTTTTCAGCCCTGTATCCTCTCTTCCAATCTGTTTCCTCATTCCTAGAACTCAGCTCCCTGGTCCCAGGAACCTCTTACAAGTTATATCCTACTACTACCTGACTCGCTTCTGTCATGGCACAGCATCACAGCTGGAGTCTGAGTCTTATTTTAGTGAATATTATCAGCTCTCTCACCTTCCAACGCCAATGCGGGAAAACTGGTACAAAACAGGTGCTCAGCAAATTATTTTGAGGAACAAACTGAGTTCTGGTGGGATGGCTCAGCTGGAGGAGCATCTACCACACAATCCTGAAGACCCGAGTTCAATTCCCAGGACCCACATGATGGAAAGAAAGAGAGAACAGATTCTTGAAAGTTGTCCTGTAACCTGTGACTGCATGCTGTGGCACCTGTGTGCATGTGTCACATACACATACACACACACACACACACACACACACACACAGTAAAGATGATTGATGTTGATAAATAAAGGAAAGGCATCTTGGGCCAAGAATGTAAGTCAGTTGGTAGTGATTACCCAGCACGTGCAAGCACTGAGCATGATTCCCAGTGCTTCATAAACCGGCTGTGGCAGCTAGCATTCGGGAGTTGGAGGAGCAGAAATTTCTCAAGGCCATGCTTAGCCACATACTGATTTCCAGGCTATCCTGGGCTACGTGAGAACCTGTTTTAGGGTAAATTAGTAAAAAGAAAAGGAAAGATTAAACAAGCTATGGTTTGGCTGTGGAACCTTGTTGAACTTTTTTGGACCCATTTGCTCATCCAGAATGTGTAATCCATACAAAAGAGCCCAGGCATAGCTGAACCACTGAGACTGATTGTGAATCTCTGTTTGAAGATTAATCTTGCCAGCTCAACAGAGTTTGGAATCACCCAGGAGACACACCTATGGGCCTGTCTTCGAGGGAGTTTCCAGAAAGCTTTCACGAGGAGGAAAGAGCCACCCTGATGTGGGCCCTCCCCTCCCCTTGGCTGGGATTTTGGACAGAGGGGAGAAAGTGAGCTGAGCACCCAGTGTTCTTCTGTGTACTTTCTTCTGGGTGTAGGTGACTTGCTGCCTCACGCTACTGCGACCACGCCTTTCCCGTCATAACGGACTGTGGATTAAGACAAACTGGTGCCTTTGTCATGTGTCTTGTCACTGCAACGAGGAATCACATGCCCAGCCAGGCGTGTTTCTGTGCTCCTCCTCTCCTTAGAAAAGAGCAAACATAGACTGTGCTGAAGGTCCATGTTTTTGTAAGTTCATCAGGCAGGCTCATTGCAGTCAGAGCATCCACTTCTAACACGTTACCGCCTGCACTTGGGGAACGTGGAGTGAGCACCAGGAAGGGTTACGGCATGACTTTGGGATTATGATATGCACGTTGGGGCCGGGCACGTTTAGGCTCTTATCCTGTGCACTGGGGAAGGGGGTTTGTCTATGTGATGATTGGCTTTACATTTCAGCTTTGGCACAGCTGGGTAGAGTTTTACCTGAGGAATTACTCAAATCAGGCTGGCCCATGGGCATGTCTGTGGGGATTGTCTCCATAGTTAACTGATGTAGGAGGACCCAGCCCTCTGTGGGCAGCACCATTCCCTGTGGGAGGAAGTCCTGAGCTGTAACGGAGAGGAGAAGCAGTGGAAAGCAGGAAGGAGTCATTTCTCTCTGCTTTCGACTGAGGATGATGGTACTAGTGGTGGTTGGTGACCTGGAATTGTAGCCAAATAAACCCAAACCTTTCCTCCCCGGTCTGGCTTTTTGGTCAGGCTATTTTATTATAGCAACAAAAATGAAACTAGAAGAATCACGAATCACCGTTTAGGCCTGTACATCGGGCGGATTGTAATGTATGCACTGGGAAGGGTTGTTTCCTGCGCAGGCTGACCTGTCAGCCACAGAGATGGCAGAGTATTCTACAGGAGAAGGTCAGTCAGCTTTCGGCTTTTGCAGACAGAGGAACCAGGTTCTGAACACTCACGTTGCTTGTCCGTGAGTGAGTGCACACAACATGTGCTTGCGTGTGTTCAGGCAGGCGTAAGCAAGACCGTGGCTGCATAGGCTTGCCTGGCTTGGTTTGTGAGAGAGTGTGGGAGTGTGTGTGGGGGGTGTGTGAACACGGGCTCGAGTGTGATATGCACAGGTGTTGGGGAATGTAAGGGCCCGTATGCACGTTTGTGTGTATTTGGTGTGTCTCTGAAAGCACCAGGACGCGTCGTAGGATGCCGGTGATGGATTCTTGTCTCCAGCCCTTCCAGAAGGGCCTGGCCCTTGCCTAGGAACCCTGTGGAGCCACCCCAGAAACCTCCCAGACTGCTAGCACAAAGGGAGCTTTCTTCCCGGATTGATCTGGCTCCTCCCCCTTACTCTCTTCTCTTCCCCAAAACAATCATTTAAATTTAATTTAGCAAAGAAAATGTTCTCTATACCTCATTTAGTTCACCTACACAGCAGTCAAATTGCATATTACAGTTCAAAGATACACACATACACTCTCTCTCAGGTTGTAGAGGTTAGGTTTGTTTCAGCTGCTCCCTGGGAAAAAAGCCCTTTAGCAGTTCTTCCTGGCAGTTTCATTTGGCTAATGCAGAAGTATGGCCAACTCTCCTCAGAGTGAAAGCCATGACTTTCAGCTGTACCTCCGCTGGACCTGACAGAGCCGTGACCCGGTGGGAAGTTTAATTTCTTTCTTCCCAGGAGCTGGGAGCAACAGGAAGAGCCTTTCTTAATGCCAGGTGGAGGGCCATTCTGTCTGTGACTCCAGCGGACTTTACTTTCAAAGGCCATGTTGAAGGAACACAGCGCCCCTCTGTGTAAAACCGGACACGATTCCATCCCTCTGATAAGCTAAAATCTCAGCTCTATTTAGAAAACAACTGTCTCAACTATCTTTTAAAAATAAGTTCATGATTTCCTCCCTTCCATCTTTCCTCTCCTTTTTCTCCCTCCTCTCCCATCCCTCCTTCCTTTCTTTTTTGAGACAGGTCTCCTGTAGCAATCCAGGGTGGACTCATTCACCTTGGGGCTGAGAATGGCCTTGAACTCCTGATCTTCCTGCTTCTACCTCCCTAGTGCTGGGATTAAAGGCATGTGCCACCACACTTGGCTACTTATTTATGTACTGGTTTTAGCTTTGAGATTACTTGTGTGTGGGTGTTTTGTCTGTGTACTGTGGTCATGAAGTACCTTAGTGGCCAGAAGAGGGTGTTGGCTGGGCTGGAACTAGTCTTAAGATGGCTGTACAATGCTCTGTGTGGGTTCTGAGCCTTGAACCCAGGTCCCCTGGAAGAGCAGTCAGTGCTCGTAACCACGGAGCCATCTCTCTAGCTGTCCCTATTTGTTTATAAGACAGGGTCTGGGAGTGTGGCTCAAGCTGGCCTCTCTAATGAGGCAATCCTCATGTCTCCAGCTCCTAAGTCCTGGGATTACAGGTTGAGCCACTTGGCCCACCCAGCTGGAAAGGAATACTTTGTTAATCGCTTCTTTAGTTCAAACTGTTTATTTGTACATTTGTGTTTTGCCTCTTTGGGGGCAGGGCTGGGTGGGGAATAGCACAGTTGGTAGACTGCTTACCCAGCGTGCGTGAAGGCCCAGATCCTATCCGCAGAGCTGCTTAGGCCAGGCTGGGTGCATATCTGTAAGCCCAGCATTTGGCAGTCTGAAGCAAGACTGCTTGAGAGTGAGGCTGGCCTGGACTATGCAGCAGGATATTCCTCTCTGCCCTAGAAAAATAACTTCCTTTACACAGTACGTTGAAAAGCTTCTGAATTGTTGCCTAACAACTTGGTAGTCATTTGGGGAAAAAAAGGTAATCAATTGAAAAAAGGTTTTTCATTCTTAATAACTATGGTTCCTTCTAAGTGAGCCTCCTCCCACAACTGAGCCCCTCTTCCGTCTTCTACAACTGAGACTCACACCCCACCCCAAGATCCTGGTGTTTGCTTTTGACCATAGTAATTTTCAAAGCCCCTTGAAAAGACATGTCACCGAGAGGCCTGCATTGTGGTAAGTAGTGAGAGGTTGCTGGGGCCTGTGTCCTGGCCATGTAGCACAACACAGCTTAAGGGTAAGGTGAGCATTAGGCCCTGGGTGAAGTACCTAGCATGGTGTGTGTGTGGACAAAGACACAGCTTTCACTCCAAAGGAACTAAGTGCTTCTTCTGAGCCAAGTGTGAGTGCCACAGCCTGAGAACACAGATTCGAGTTGCCTCAAGTGACGCATGCCCTCATGGAAGTGAGGGTATGGAATCGCACAGTCCTAAAACAGGAGGTCACAGGTCAGGGCATAGCTGACTGGTGGGGGTGGCCCTGAGGTGTGAGGTTTCATCTGCTGTCTGGCGGTGCTCTTAGCTCTGGACTGTTGAAAACTGGTGGTCCCCTGAGAACGCGTGTACCCCAGGATGCGCTCTGCTTTCACAGTTGCTGCCTGCCCCCGGCTCTCTGGCTTTGTAGCTCAGGTGCCCTGATGCCCCGTTTGGCTTGGTTCCACTCTAACTGCACTGTGCACCCTGGAGCTGGCTGGAGAGAGGAGTCACGCACTGCGTCTCTCTGCCCAGGTACTTTGTGCTGGATTTTGAGGCTGGCCTCCTGCAGTATTTTGTGAATGAGCAGAGCAAGCAACAGAAGCCCCGAGGAGTCCTGTCTTTATCTGGAGCCATCGTGTCCCTGAGTGACGAAGCTCCCCACATGCTGGTCGTGTACTCTGCCAATGGAGAGATGTATAAGCTGAGAGGTAGGTCCGGGCTCTGGTGACACTGTGGTGGGCTCCGGTGGCCCTGCAGCGTCCGGCGCTTTTGTTTTCTTGGGGAGATACCTTGGGGGCTGGAGAGAGGGCTCACTGGAGAGAGGCTTCTGCTGCCAAGCGGACAGCCCGAGTTTGATTCCCTGGTCTCACCGGAAGGAAGGAGAGAACTGACTCCTGCAAGTTGTTCTTTGATCTCCACAGGTGTGCCACGGCTTATGTACACACACACTCAGTCACACACACACTAAATTAATGCAATTAAAATGCAAATCACTCTGAAATGTGGAAATGCCGTGTTAGTGGCTGATAGTTTTACCTTCTTATGTAAACTTTTTATTTTCTTTTTTTCAAAGTGAGGCCAAAGTACCAAAGACAACCCCTTTTTACCCGCCCCGGACTGTGCCTGGTGATGGCTGGGAAGCCACGCTGAGGGCCTGGATTCCGGCCTCTTAGTTCAATTTTCACTTGTTTTTACTGCCAAACTTTACCACCACAGAGATGGGACAAGTTAATCTCTCTGTATTATCTGGACGTGAACCCTATCTCTGAAGCCGTAAAACAACCCAAAGCCTCTAAATGAAAGTGCCTGCAGTTGAAGGCTTTGTGCTGTGTCTTTTCCCCCTCTCTTTTGGGATTCCTGCAGCGCGCCTTCCAGCTGGCTAGATTTATGTGGTCTTCCATGTCGCCTTGCCATTTATTGCTTAATAAATTGTTGGTGCAGAAGCTGCAGAAGGGAAAACTTCACAGTACCTCCTCATCCGCGTGTGCGGCTGATGAAGACACAGAGCCACACAGAAGAGGACGCCAGCTCACTCCACAGTCCAGCCAGCCCAGTTGGTTGATGAGTTGTTAATATTCTGTGGATTACTGAACTCAGTTTTTAAAAAAGCTTTTGCGTTCATTCTTAACTATGTGCATATCTGTACGTGGGTTTGCAGACACACATGCATTACCTGTAGAGGCCAGAAGACGGCATTAGATCCCCAGGAGCTGGATTTACAAGGAGTTGCCAGCTTCTTCATGTGGGTGCTGGGAACCAAACGAGGCTCCTTTGCAAGAGCAGTGTGTGCTCCTAACTGCCCCTTTAGTAATCTCTCCAGCCCCTTCCAGTTTTTTTTAAGAGCAATTTAATAGCAAATTTGAAATTATTGTTAAATTTCACATGACATAGTCATAAATTTAGCTCAACTTTATAAACTAAAAATGGCAGGTTAGGGCCTCTTAAAGACGCTATGCAGCAGTGCATCAAAGTAGATGCGGAGACTCATAACCAAACCTTGGGCAGAGTGCAGAGAATCATAGAAGAAGGGGGAGTTAGTATGACCTAGAGAGGACAGGAGCTCCACAAGGACAAAATATATCAGGGCACGGGGGCCTTCTATGAGACTGTTTCTCCAACCAAGGACCATGTATGGATATAACCTAGAATCCCTGTTTGGATGTAGCCCATGGTAGCTCAGTAACCAAGTAGGTTCCCTAGTAAGGGAAACAGGGACTGTTTTTGATATGAACTCAACAACTGGCTCCTTTACCTCCCCCTCCTCCCTGAGGGAGGAGTAGCCTTGCTAGGTCACAGAGGAGGACATGGCAGCCAGTCCTGAAGATACCTGATAAGCTAGGGTCAGATGGAAGGGGAGGAGGACCTCCCCTATCAGTGGATTTGGAAAGGGGCAGGGAGGAGATGAGGGAGGGAGGGTGGAATTGGGAGGGAATGAGAGAGGGGGCTATGGCTGGGATACAAAGTAAATAAACTGTGATTAATATAAAAAAATAAAAATTAAGAAAAAGACTTAGGAAAAAGAAAGGAAGAAGGAAAATGGCAGGTTAGTTTTCTGCAAGTTACAGCTTCTCCATGCCCTGACCTACTTGGTGCTCATGGTCTGTTTCTCATTTCCCTGAACATGATGGAGTTGGCTCAGTATGTCACCAGTGGCACAACTCTGAGGAAGGTTTCTGATGCAGAAACTTTGAATAGTATTTTCTTCGTCTTTGGCACTTAATTTCCCCAGTCCTGCACTGTGCCTATCATCTTTGGGCAACTGGCCTCTTGACAAATGTATGAAAGGCCCACATGGGACCGAGAGAGAATCTCTGTGTCTCTTCCACCCCACCCCAGTTTTGTCCCCCTCCCTCCTCCTACTCTCTCCTTTCTCTATTTCCAGTCTTTTCTCTCCTTCCTTTTTTGAGACAGAGTTTCACAGCCCAGACTTTCCTGTAACTCACCGTGTACCAGGCCAGCCTCAGGCACACAGTGTTCCTGGGTGCAGGGATGAAAGGCGTGTGTCACACATCTGGTCAACTTTTGAACTCTGGATTTCTTTTTAAGATTTCTTTTTGTTTTTCAAGACAGGGTCTCTCTGTGTGGCCCTGGTTGTCCTGGAACTTGCTTTGTAGACCAGGCTGGCCTCAAACTCACAAGAGATCTGCCTGCCTCTGCCTCCTGAGTGCTAGAACTAGAGGCATGTGTCACCACTGTCCAGCTACCGTTTATTTTCATACACTTACTGTGTTGCTTTCACGCATGTCCGTGTATCACATGTGTGCCTTGAGGAGGAGGCCGGAGGAACAGATTGGATCCCTTGGCACAGACAGTTGTGAGCCACCTGTGGGTTCTGGGAACCTAACGTGAGTCCTCAGCAAGAGCAGCCAAAGCCCTTGAGCCCTGAGCTGTCTCTCCAGCCCTGACTCTGGATCACTGTACTTGCAGGCTCAAGTTGGAGCTGAGTTTTGGCAAATGGCACTTGGACTCATCTTTGTAAACAAGTGTAACTTCCAAGGGAAGATTTTTTTTTTTTTTTTTTTTTTTGCACAGTTACTGTTTGTACAGTTAGTTTTCTAACAGTATCATGTTGGTAGTTGCAGTTAAGTCGATGACTTGGATGGTTTTTTTGGAATGTATATATTCATGCTATTTAAGAATAATTATTTGTATTATTTGAGAAGATGAGAGAATGTGATCACATTATCGTCTTGTGCTTTAATATCTTTCTTCCTTTAAAAAACTTTATTTTGTGTGTGTATGTGTACTTGTGTGTGTGCATATGTGTGTGGAGGTCAGAGGTCACCATTGAGTGTCTTCCTCCCACCTTATCTTTTGAGTTAGAGTCTCTCTTTGAACCTGGAGCCCCCTGATTCATCTAGGTGGGCTGTCTAGCAAGCCTCAGGCACCCCTCCATCCATGCTTCCCAGAACTGGGGCTACAGGAATGTACCGAAGTCCTGGCTCTTTCCGTGGGCGCTCAGGCCCTGAACCCAGATCCTCATGTGTATACAGCAAGCACGTCACCCCCTGTACCACCTCCCTGGCAATTCGCCCTCCCAACCAGCCGCGCTGGCATAGAATTGGATTCCTTAGGCCTTGTCGGCCTTGCACTCTAGATCCTGTGCGTCAGCCTCCCGGATTCTAGGTGTGTCCACCACACTCAGACCTCTTACTGCTTCTAATGCTGCCACGTCCGTAGCCTTAATGTCCCTGGGAGAAATCTGAGGGTCTCCAAGGCAGCATTGGGGTCTTCCTCCGTCTGGTCGTTCGGCAGATCCCTAGGCCTGCTTCTGTTTAACAAAGGACGCACTGGAAGACTGTACCTTGAACCTTTCATTAGCCACACAAGGGAGAGAAATGCTTAAAGACAACGTGTGAGCGGTACCTGCCACTGCCTTATTAAGTCTACAAAGTGGCTTTTCCAAAGGAGGCTGGAGGAAAAAAAAAGCCTAATCGTCAGTTACTGTAACTGGCATTTTGGAAGACAGTTTTAATGTGTGATGCCTGAATGTCATCCCGTTCTTTCTGTTCAGTCAGGCCGGTGGAGAAGCTCTGTGTTTGTGTTTACTTATCCCTCCTCCTCCCTCACACTCCAGACCCCCACCCCCATAGGTGGGCGTCCAGCTCCATCGCCATGCTTGGGAACAATCTCTGCAAGCCTTCCTCTCTCCCTCTTCTCTCTTTTAGCTGCTGATGCGAAGGAGAGACAGTTCTGGGTGACTCAGCTCCGCGCGTGTGCCAAATACCACATGGAGACCAGTTCCAAGGTAGGTAAGCAGAGGCGGTGAGGGGGTCCTGAGTCAGCGGGTGGCTGTTCAGAGCACAGTCATCCCTTTACTTCAGGGGCGGGGGTGGTGGCAGTATTTTGTGCCTTAATTGTGTTCGTGTGTGTGCACGCATGGACACGTGTCCTCGGAAGCCAGAGGTCATACAAGTGGCTGTCACTGTGCTAGAATTTTACTTGGGGGCTGGGGATTTGAACTCAGACCCTCACGCTTGTGCAGCAAGCTCTTTAACCACAGAGCCATCTTCCCCATCCCCTCAACTTACTTTCAGAGTTACTGGTTGTCATAAAATGTACCTTTGCCCCTGCTGCAGCTCAAAGCCATGTCAAAGAAATGAGCTTTTCCTAGGGTGGAAGGCAGAGGCGCGCAGAGGCCAGGGTGTGGGCATTAGGCGTGTGCTCGGGTCAGTCCTACTGATTGGCCCACAGAGAAGCTGGAGTGGGAGGGCACTGTGGAGAGAGGCGGGGCACCCCGAGTTCTCGAGAAGGTTGGCACGGGTGCCTTCTCTCAGCCTCTCCAGAGACCTGGTGGTCGTGAGGGGCGGAGAGGAGGTGGGCCTCTTCGTGGCTTACCCTGAAGCTAGCCAATCGCCGAACCGCAGGCATCCATCCGTGCCACGCCTTCATGCGGAGCACCTCGAGGGTTTTCTGTTTTTCTCATTGCTTCGGACTCAGTGGTGGCCTCCAGTCGCTGCACTTGTCTGTGTCTCCAGGATCTGATGGAAAGGGCCACGCCTCAGACCCCATTCTTTTGTTGTTATGCTAGGGGTCAAGCCCTGCCCTTTGCACCTACTAGGCAGACGCTTCCCCACGGAGCACCTCCGGCCCCTCGCTTCAAGCGTCCAGTCCTCCCATAGGCTACAACCTGCTCGCCTCCTAGCCAAAGGAGCCCTGAAATGCTTTAGCAGCTTAGGTTGCTTGGTAACCCGCCCCCCACCACACCCCTTCTGAGAAAGGGACAAGGAGTCTCACTGTGTAGCCCAGGCTAGCCTTGGACTCATGACAGGGCTCTTGCCTCGGGCACCTGTAGCCACCATGGTTGGCTTTGTGCCCTGCTTCCTTCTGAACAGAGTTGAGAACGATTCCTTCCACCGGGTTGATATATTTTTGAAGGGGACCCTTGCTTGCTTTGAACAGTTGCCCTCACTCGTAGCACCCCTCTTGGCCTGTCCTGAGCAGATGCTGGGGAAGTCCCTTCCTCTAAAGTCATTTCCCCTTTGACTGTTTTCCAGGAATCAGAGGGAATTTCTGGCCGCTTCCTCAGCCTTTCATAAATGCATAGACAGGGCAGTTTGTTTTACCCTGTATGTACTTCCTCCTCTTCCTCCTCCTCCTCCTCTTTTGTTGTTGTTGAGAGAATCTCATTTGCTTATTTAGCCAAGGATGAGCTCTTGGACTTCTGAGCCTGTCTTCCCTGTAGCCTTGGACTCATGACACCTCTCTTGAGGACTGGTATTGCAGGGGTCTGTCTCTCTGACTGGTTTGTGTGGGGCCGGGGACCAAACCCAGGGCCCTGGCCATGCTAGGTGAGCCTTTTTCCAGCTGAACCACCCCCCTCCCCAGCTCTCCTCTCTATTTTCACCAGCTAGGCGGATAGAAACGAAAAGGGTTCAATCCCTGATCCGCTGCCAGGTTCGCTTACTGGAGATGACTGTTCATCGTGGATTGCTCCTGTGAGCTCGGTACCTGAATCTACTTCTGGCTTTATACGAATGGAGTCGCTCGCTCTTCTGCGCTTACTACTACATTTTGGAGATCTCTCCATATCTGACACACGGATCAGCTTACAGGGAGCTGAGTATTGCTCAAAAACTGGGTATCGCTACTTTATTAAGCTGAATTTTTTCCTGTCCTTCCTTTCGTTTTCTTGGACTTCTGGAGACGGTGTCAGGTAGCCCGGGCTGGCCTTGCATTCCTGAGTACAGGGGTCACAGGCTTGTGCCCGAATGCCCTGCTGTCCTCTGAATTTTCACAGACATCGTTGGATGGCCTTCTAAGAAAGGTTGCTGGAGAAGTTGGAGGGATGACTTAGTGGTTAAGAGTGCTTGCTGTGCAAGCCTCAGGACCCGAGTTCAGATCCCAACATCTGATCAGGAAAGCCATGCATGTGCCTATAACCCCATGCTGTGGAGGGCAGAGACCGGAGGATCTCTGCGGCTTAGGCCTCTAAGCCAGCCTATCTCTAGGTTCAGTGAGGGACCCCCAACTTGAGGGAAAATAAGGCTGAGAGTGATGGAGCAGGATGCCAGGGTCCTCTGTGGCATTGCTCATAGGTGGCCCTCTTACACACACACCATATTCTTGTGCATACATGACAGAAAGTGGCTCTAACTTACACCCCCACTAACTGAGAGTGTAGCGGTTTGCTTTTCACACCCATGAACCTCAACAGTGAACCTCAACATTTAGTTCGGGATGCCACAGGTAGAAATGGGCCCATTTTCATTTCATCAGTCATGCCTGTGGCTCAGTATTCCTTCAAATGTGCAGAGGACATATGTCATTTTTTAAGCTGAGGTCCTGTTCTGTCTCTCTCTACCACAGAGCGACGTCCTATTCACTTATCACTCTTGTATGCCAGCTGCTACCGTTGTTTTCTGTCAAGTTAATTCCCCTTCATGATTTGCAATTGCTCCTTGTTTATGAAGAACTTTTAAAAAATCTGTTCTCTCTACTCCTTGATATTTTCTCCCAGTAGGATGTTTTCATATTGAGTTTTTATTATTTTTTTCGAGACAAGGTCTCACTGTGCAGCCTAGGCTGACCTTGAACTCACAGTCCTTCTGATTCAGCCTTCTAAGTTTGGGGAATGCAGGCAGGCCTCTCCAGGCCCAGCTGCCTTTTGAGATTGAATGCGTTTTTTTTTTTTTTTTTTTCTTAAGTGAAACATTTAAAGTTTTTATGGTCGAGTGTATAAAAATTCCCATGTTTGTGTCTTGGTTTTGCGTTGTGTTTAGTAAGGGCTTCTCTTCTGCCAAAATTCGGAAAATGTTTTCTTTCTTCTAGTGAGTTCACAGTTTATGGCTGTGTTTAAATTACCAGTTTATCTGTACTTTGTTTTGGAAGGAGGGTAGAGAACAAACCATGAATATTTGCATACTTAAGGAATCTATGAAGAAAAAAGGAAGGTTTAGACTCTGAAGGAAAATTTGATTTTCAAGGTGCCCTCCTGACCACCATCATGCTGTTCTCAAGGCCCTTGTCCTGTGATGCCTCCTGGCCCCAGAGCCATTGCGACGTGTTCTCTCTGCTTCCATACTGGCCAGGACTCATCTGGGCGGCAGTGTTCTCTCCTGTGGGTCTGAAGAGAAATCACACCTGATGCTGTTGTGACCCAGGCAGGTGGAAATAATCAAGTGTGCCCACTCTTCGATCTTTGCCTCACTTGTCCTCCCTGTCATTAAGACAGTGTTATCGCAATCAGGAACCTAGTTGTAGTTGTGGTTCTTGAGGGTTTGCGTTCTTCAAAAACAGCCCTGAAAGCTACCCATTTTCCTGAATGTTAACAGTGCGTAGTGCTACACCAGAGATGAGGAGCCCTTTCATGTCCAGAGAACAGTTTCTCCGGGTAGTAACCCTAAACCCAACCCCGAGTTAGGCGTAACATTGAAGCAAAATGTACCCCAACGTTGTATTATTATTGTTACCATTTCAAACTCCCCAGCTGGGGCTCCAGGCCTGTGCCACCATGCCCGTACTTGTGTGGATTTGTGTGGCACTGGGGACTGAAGAGACGGCATCCCAGGCAGGCGCTCACCTACCTCCTAAGCTGCCTCCTCAGCTCCTGCTCTCCCTTGTTGACTGTCACAAATAGCGTAGCTGTGAGCTCTGAATATAAGCATTCCTGTGTGTTTTCATTCTATAGGACGTGTTCCACAAACACCGTTGTCTAAAGCCGGGGCTCTGCCCTGTGCCTGTCACGGTCTCCTCCTCCTCCGTTTAGTTCTGTTTGTTGTGTGAGATCATTCTGCCTACATGTCTGTCTGTGCACCTCAGAGGTCCAAAGAGAGTGTTGAATCCCCTGGAATTACAGTTATACATGAGGTGGTTGTGAGCTTCCGTGTGGGTGCTGGGCATTGAACCCGAGTCCTTTGGAAGATCAGTCAGTGCTCTTAACTGCAGAACTACTTCTCCAGCTTTCTTTGACAACTGGATCAGTACATCCGATGTTTCCAGCGTCCATACCTTTGCCAACATTGTCTTGGCAGCTATGGGGTGGGTGTGAAGTGTGCGTGCCCCTCATTCTTTTACTTTCTCTCTGTGATTTCTCATTTGCATTTTTCTAATGAACATTGGAGTTGAGAGTGTCTTCCTGTATGCTAATTAGCCATCTTCTTTCAAAACATGTTTATTAAATCTGTATATTGTTTGTGACTTCTTTTGTTTGTCTGTCTGTTGGTTTTTCGAGACAGGGTTTCTGTGTAGCCCTGGCTGTTTGTAGACCAGGCTGGCCTCAAACTCTCAGAGATCCACCCGCCTCTGCCTCCCAAGTGCTGGGATTAAAGGCGTGTGCCACCACTGTCTGGCTATTGTGATTTCTTTTAAAGCTAAGTCTTCCAGGTGTTTTATGTAATCCAGCTTCCAGACAGAACTTTGTCAGATTGGGAGCTGACATTTTATGTTTTTCATTTTTTTTTTCTGACATGTGAGAGCCATTTATGGAGTACTGGGTATGAGGAACAGGTATGAGCTGATTTTGGCTATGTCTGGGCCACCCATCCCCTAACTAGCCTGTCGCCTCCGGCTGCCATGGGAATAATAATATCCCTTAGCCTCACTTTCCAGTTCAGCATCTGGGCAGAGTGATGCCACCCGCTAGGGTCGCTGGATCCAGAGATCTGTTTGTCTCTTGTTGTGAGGTCCCCAGGATTATGAGAGTGAGCCACCACCCACAGCTTTCTGGGTGGATCTGGGGGGCTCAAGCTCAGCTCCTCAAGCTTGGGAGGCGAGTGCGTCACTCACGGAGCCATCCCCCAGCCCATG